TGTGAGTGGAAACCAGCGTACACGTAGGCGTCCTCCTTCATGCTGCACCACAGATTACCTCTCCTTTTTATTTCACATGGTGATGCATGGAGCTGCAACAGAGGTACCACCCTTGAGGTGGCTAACACACCGTCCCCAATCCCATCCATGATGTGAGTCTCAGCTCAAATCGCCAGCTTTTATTTTCTCCTCTGTGTTATAGTCTTTGCCTCCGAGTCTGCAGGAATCGTAACTGGAGTTTTATGGTGGGATGGAAACATTCAATTTGATTTAAGAACTTTCATCAAGGACACTAGTTTTAAGCTCTTCAGTTTTTTTTTCTTCATTTCTTTACCTACTGCATGCCTAGTGCTTTTAAACTCCCCCCCTATGTATACCATTTGACTTGCATGGATTACTTTAATGCTACACGACGATAAAACCTCATTACCTTAACAGGACATAAAGGCAACTAAAATGTTAAGCAGATTTGATTCCTCATGCAAAAACTTCTCAGAGCACAAAGAAGGCATGAAAATATCAGCCAAGAACACTTTCTCACTTTGTTTGAATAAACCTTTAAATGTGTTCAGGTTTTGTCAGGTGACAAAAAAATGTGATAGAACAACACAGGGTATGTGAGCTTTAAAGTTTCTACAAACAAAACTATGACAAGAGTTGCATGAATCCGTATTAGGCCTTTCTGATTCATGCTTTGCATCAAAGCTTTCTGCTAGAATTACAGTAAAAGTGATGGTGAACATCGTTACAGTATCACCACATATACGTAAATCACGTTTAGATTATGTTTCAGTGTTGGACTGTGGGTCCAGTTTTGGTTTTTTACAACACCTAGAGCCTTGCATGTTGGTCAAAAAGTTGAATTTTGATTTGACCTAAAGAAAAGCACTGTCTACTGTACCAGGGCGACAGTGGCGTCGCCCTGGTACAGTAGACAGTGCATGTTGGTCAAAAAGTTGAATTTTGATTTGACCTAAAGAAAGAACAGTGGCGTCGCCCTGGTGTTGTCCTGGTGTCGCCCTTGTCCTTGGGCAAGACACTTCACCTGCATTGTCTAGTGATTGTGGTCAGAGGGCACGGTGGCACCAGTATACGGCAGCCCCGCTTCTGTCAGTGAGCCCCAGAGCAGCTGTGGCTACAATGTAGCTTGCCACCATCAGTGTGTGAGTGTGTGTGTGTGTGAATGGATGAATGACTGAATGTAGTGTAAAGCGCTTTGGTCAAGTCTCCTGACTTGAAAAAGCACTATATAAGTACATTTATACACACATTTACCATATTCATGTTGTGTCCACTAGGTAGCACCTTCCAAGACTTAATGTTTTTCTTTCACCAATTACTTTCCTTTTAGCACTCTCCTATAAGACTAGATTTGAGGAATGCAAGACTAAAGGCTGATTTATATTTGAGGTGTCAAGGTCCTCCCTGGAATGTTGCTGAGACAGTCTTTGCAGCATTTTATATTCGGTGTGGTTTTCCAGGCTGTACCGAATTCATACAAGGCAGTGTAGGACACATCCAAGCTTACAACACCACACTACATGTGGAACTAGAGAACACCGCTGTTTCAAGCATTTAGTCAATCCAATTTCATCAAATCAGTGAGGACTCTTATGCAAAGCAAAGTGCATCAGCGGTCGCCATGACAGGTGCTGTCCAAATTAAGGTGGCAGTAAGGGAGGAGATACTGTAGGAAAAGGAAGCAGGGTGCTTCCTCTTGATAGTTCATTTAGCATAATGACCTCCTGGCATTCCTATCTGACAGTTAGGAGCTACACAAATTCCCACAATCCTTTAAAAGACTAAACATATAAGCACAGCCAGACTCACACTAACAAACATGTTTGATTTTTTGTATATACTCTGTGTGGTGCACGCTAAAATACACACCTTCACAGTGGAGAACATTAGTTGTAACTACATTTATGTCTTTTTTGCAATCCCAATTTGAGGAGCATCATCAATGAGCTTCCGTCGCTTAATGGCATCCAGATTTGGAACAGCAGTGGGGGATTCATTTGCGTTCTGTTCACCACGCAAAAGATGAAGATTTTTTATATCTACAAACTCTCACTAGTAAGAGCTGTCGCTCATTCACGTCCATGTTTTACTTTGCAAAACTTTTCATGAAGTTACAAAATTTCAATGGTTAGAGGTTGGGAAATCTGAGTAGGTGTGATGTCACATACATTATAAGAACTAATCAATTCAACTGAGCAGCTGCCTATGGCTCAGTGGTATTTGGGACCCTTCAAATCCCATTAAGTTCCTTTTTGGGACTGTGGGGCCAACATTGCTCCTTTGCTTCCTGTCTTTTATTGCTGGTGTTAATATAATTATCATTGAGGATGTGTGAGCGTATTACACTTTGATATTGGCTGTCTGATGCATGTCAGAACTGATGTTTTCCACTATAGTTTATCTGGTTAAGACAGTTCCTCTGTCCGGATATAAAATTATAATCATTCTGTACGTGGAAAATATTTGGGAATACATTGAGAGCGGTGTCCTTCTGCTAAGAACAAAGTTTCATATTTTGATAAGGCTGGAGCTTCATCTGCTAACATGTATGATGTAATGATGTGACGATATGGCAGACTGGAGATGTATAAAATGTCTCTTTATCTGATAATCAGGGACACTTCCTGAGAGGGGAGCCAGGATGTGAGCAGCTGCCTTCTGTAAAATCTAAGCAACTTCTCTGATCTGAGTAAAATTACAATTTCTATCAGAATCTGTTGTCATGTCTCCTGGTTATTTAATAGATATAAGTTATTCAATGTTATTTAAAGAGTTTGTCCCAAGTGATCTCTTTTCAGGAATAAGAACTGGAGAGATAGAGCTTTAAGGTGCATACACAGAGCCTATCTTTACCACTAGAAAGACTGATTAATCCAGGTTAGTCTTTGTCGTTATGGTTACTGAGGTCAGACAAACCTGGATTAATCAGTCTGTCCAGTAATGAAAGATAAGAAAAAGAAAGAAGCTGGTAGAAGTTTGGTGGAGTTGGGCAAAGCCAATTTGGTAGAAGAAAAACTGAACCCTGTAGAACAGAGTCGAACCGAGACAAGAGACTTATCCATTCATGTTGGGTCAGTTCAGTTTGGATTACTTTATTTTCCATAACATTAGCATAGTATCTCAGTGGGAGCTGGATTTTTATAACAGGACAGTCCTACAGTAGGACATGTAGTAGTGCATAGCTAAATAAACTTGGCCTTGATAGATTTACAGATGTATCATCTTCTTTCCATTTCCTGGATTTAAAGTAAAACTAATTACACAAGGGTAGATTTTCTTATATTAGATTGCTGCAGTCTAAGGGCCAGTTGTTGGTATTAATTATTGGTGCGTAAATGAAAGGAAGAAATAAAAATACACACCATTGTTTTTAGAGGTTTTTGTTTGAAGGCATCCCAAACAACTTTTTAAGACTTTCCTTGCTTAGTTATAAATCTGCATTTCACACGACATTTTATGACGAAGAAAAGACCTAACAACGAAAGGATTATGTGTTCTCCAGGTTGTATTTTGTATGACAGTAGCATCCATCAAATTAGATTTTCAAATAAAAATCACTGGGGATAAAGGGTTTTTTTTTTAAATTCAGTTTTTTTTTCACAATTTGAAACTTGAAAATTACATATTTACATAATTAACATAATTTCTTTTTTTCTAAATTAATTTTAATTGTTGATTTTTAGGGGCTGAATGATGGCACAGTTTGTGGCACTTTGGCTGATTCCCAGCCTGGGGTCTTTCTGAATTCAGTTTGCACATTCTCCCAGTGCATGCTTAGCTCTCTGTGGTTACTACAACTATCTTTTACAGTCCATAAACATGACTGTTAGGTCAATTGATGTCTCTAAATTGCTCTTAAGTGTGTGCTTGGATGTTGCAATGGACCAGTTCATTTGTTTGTAGTTAAATAATTTTAAACAATTTATAATTCTTTTGTATCTGTTAAAACATTTTTTAGCACTTCCACTTATCTTATACTGCCAGGTTTAAAAGAAAACAATACAAAAGTAACCAAACCAGACAATTAAACTATTTCCCTGATGGGGAATTTCATTGAGCAAAATGAAAATAAAAGATGGAAAGATGCAACTTAACCTTGACAGACCTAATACAGAAAAAGAGTTAATTAATTAATCTATTCATAACAAATCCCTTTAATGAGGGTCTTCTGCTTTTGAAGACAGCACCTCGCCTTCAAAGTTTCCTTCAGAACTATGAAGTGATCAGATAACTGATAGAAAGTGAACACAGTGAACAATGAAGGAGTTTTTGCCATGAGCTATAATGTGGATGTGAATTAGTCTCATCATGTGAGTCAAGTTTAATAATATGTTCAAGAGCAGGAGTGAAAAAAAGTCACTCCAGCTGTGGAGCTGGTTGACAGTTGCCTTTTGTAACTCTGCTTCTGTCTCCTTGAACCCTTGTCAGCCTCGGCAGATGGCCGCTCACACTGAGTCTGGTTCTGCTGGAGGTTTCTTCCAGTTAAAAGGGAGTTTTTCCTCTCCACTGTCGCTACAAGCATACTTAGTGTGATTGCCTTCGAGTCAATGAGTCGAAGCAATCAACTGGTTTTCCTTAGATAGAAAACTTTGAATCAATTTCACTGGATGATCTGGTGAACTGTAAAGTGCCTTGAGATCAAATGCATCGTGAATTGGCGCTATAGAAATAAACTGAATTTAATTTAATTGGATATATAGCAAAAGGGATAATAAAAGAAGCTTTAATTGAAAACTTTTCAAACAAACGTTCATATTAGGGGAGTGTTGGCCTAGTGGTTAGAGCAGAGCGCTTGTGCTCTGAGAAGGTTGCAAGTACCCCGGTTTGATCCCCACAGCATAGATAGATGTATTCGTAGAAGCACAAATAGTGCTGTAAAAACAGAGAATAAAAACAAAAAAACAAAACAAGATTTCACATGAAAAAAAGTTATTTTTTCTTTTATGGGCTGCATCCGTTATTCGTGTGAATGGTGATACCTTGAGTCCTTCAGTAGGCGAGCAGCTTATCAAGAAGAGGTTGTTTCTGTGTGTGTCTGTGGGGCTCCAGGGCCACAGCCCCTCACTAAGTTCGTCCAGTTTCCACCAGCAGAGTGCCATGTCCTGCAGACGGCTGAGAGCGACGTGTCTTTGAAGCCTTCGACTTGGCCCACCCACCTCTGCACACATCACCTGAAAACAGAAACCCACAGATGCAAAAACCTCACTGACTGCACTGAGAAAAGGGGTCAAGAAGCCTGCAGAATAAAACAAATCTTGAGGGGAAGTCATTAGTGATTAATCCATTTTTCTTCACGTTCCTGGTCTGCTGTTTCATCACCTCGGGGCTCTGACGCCTCCTCAGCCCCAGATGCACCTCTTGTCCTTCCCCCATTCTGTTTCTGTTGATGTCTAAGGTTGTGTTTTATCTTCCATTATTAATGTCTGCGAGGGCTTGTTGTTTTAGCCATGTGCATATTTTTTAGGAAGGTCCGCCACGCTCTATGGGCCACAACAAAGAGACGCACAGTAATGAGCTCTCGTGGCGCTTGCAGGGGGGAGGTAGGAGCAGACTCACAGAGACACACATAAGTTTGAGCATGTATGTTTAGAAACATGCAAATAGAAATATAAGCAGAAGCGTGTTTAGAAAATGCTTTTCTAGATGTACACATCGTTATTGCATGATTGCAAAGATTTACACTTTCACCCAGTTTTTGATCAGAGGAAAGATGAAAGAGAGAGGAAGTAGTAAGACATATAAGACATATTATATAAGATGTATAGAACATATTCTGTCTGATCTAAAATGAAAAAAAACATATCAAGAGATATAAAAAATATTCTTCCTTGGCATGTTTTCTTAAAACTTTTATTATTACAACTTTTATTATATTAGCTGGAGCAAATTTTATATGTGTGGTAGAGAACTTGATCCTGCTTGAACCGCCACCCTGACGTAGCTACAGTATGTTGTCGAGGGTTTACGTGCCCCTGGAAGGTTCTCCCACGGCAAACAGGCTTTACGTGATGGGTCAGAGAAATGGCAGCTGAAAAAGCCCTTATGATGACCAAGAAATCATGGCAAGCAATGTTGCCTGGTACAGCAGAGCTGGGGTTCGTCAGCAGCGCCTGATGGTCATGTTCTCATTTACGGGCCCGAACCGGGCCAAGAGCAAATGAGTTATTGGAGGCCTTGTGGGTCCACCACATGCAGGGGGAGTCATTATGAACCAGAGGAAAGAAGACTAGGCATCAGGCAGAGGCAGTGGCCTAAGCAACCTTTTTGACAATCCATTAGCAAGGGCGGCAAGCACTCCGCTAGAGATAAGATAAGTAGCATTTGGGAGAGGCTCAGAGTAGAGTCGCTTCTCCTCCACATCGATAGGAGTCAGCTGAGTTGCTCAGTCGATAAGTACAGGATTATTGCAATGATATATACAGTAAAGTGAAGTCTTATTGGCTAAAGCTTTTACACAGCTTATTCGTTTAATTTGTGCATCTAGCATTACATAGAAATAACTTTTTATTTGTGTGAGACCTAAAATATGGAAAGCAATAGGTAATGAGAAATTTATTTAAAGGCTCTTGACCAATTTTTTATGTAAAAGAGAGGCTGAAGGCTCAGAAAGATGAAGCAGCAACTTGCAGGGCTTTTTCAGCCTTCCTGTTAGTTGATCAAAGGCTTGCTCTCTAGCAGCCTTAAAAATGTTTGACATGCCACCGAAAATACAGTTTCATGTTAATTTGCTTCTTTTTCTTTCCTCCAATTTGATTTTAAACACCTCCCTGATTGCCTGATATGTCTTCTCTTGGTAAGTGTGTCAATTTAGGTTCAATAATACTTTAACAATCGCAGAGAACTTCAGGGAAATGCAGCCCATCTATAAGACAAAAAACTCAGAAAGACAAAAACACTGATGTCATACATACATACACTCTGTAGAATTAGTTAGTTCAATCTCGAATACTATGCTCTGTCTACTTTTTCTCATAGTAGCTTCATCTGGTCTGTTCCTGTTCGGCTGTGACTCCATCAGAAATATAAGTGAAGAGAAGTATCAGCTGAGCTACTGCCATCAACACCTTTGTTTATCGATGTTGAAGCGCTGCCTATTTTTCAGTGTAGTTCTGTTTCTCTGACTGTGGCTGGCTGGATGTGCCCTTTTCATCCTCTGAGATTGGAGCTGGCTCGGAGCTCGTCTTCCTGGCTGTGTGTATCCTGTGGAGCTGGTTTACAGTTGCCTTTTTGTGTCTCTGCTTCTTTCTCCATTTCTGCTTCTGCCTCCTTGAACCCCAGTCGGCCTCGGTAGATGGCCGCTCACACTGAAGCTGGTTCTGCTGGAGGTTTCTTCCTGTTTGAAAGGAGTTTTTCCTCTCCACTGTCACTACAAGTATGCTTAGCGTGAGGGATTGCCTTTAAGTCAATAAGTCGATGCAATCAGAGGGTTTTCCTTAGATAGAAAACTTTGAATCAATTTGACTATATGATCGGGTTGAATTGTAAAGTGCAATGAGATGACATGTGTTGTAAATTGGTGCTATATAAACTAACTGAATTGAAATGTAATTAAAATTGAATTGGGGGGACGCTGTGCCCGAGGCCTTACTGCCATGAAAGGCCCTGCCCTTACAATTAGAAGAAAAAAAATGGATCACACTGGATGAGGGGAGGGAAATCATATATTTCACTCTATCCTTAGCAGGATGCAGTTTGAGATAAAGCCTCAGCACATAAACATCACAGAATCCTGCAGGAAGAATGGTGGAGGAGTATGTCTGCACTGAAGAGTGGCAACACAAACTGCTGGGACTTTTTGGCATCCTCACTGGTGGATAATGATTGTGTTTCTGACCAGATGTAAGACCAGATGTAAGTACATCTCTAGGAATAATGAAGAGTTTTCAAGACAAAGAGGGAGGAGATCATATTTGAAGAGAAGTTTGGAGATTGCAGTAAGAAAAATAAAGTATTGAATAATGGAAAGAAAAGAGAGGAAAGGGATTTAATTTGGAAGATGTATGGGAGATTTTTTTTCTTCCAAAACACATGTTTCTTTTAATATTAAAATAGCCCCTAAAACTCGCTCTATCAGGAGGATGAATATGGCAATATCTCTTTACAAATGAATGTATCAACATAGAAAATGATTTAAAAGCCTAAAAACCTGCAGGAACTCTGTGTTGTATGAGTAGAGAAGATTTGAGATGCACTGGTCCGTGTCTGCCCTCCTTGCTCCCTGAGGGGGCAGAATTTTCCTTGGACATAAAGTATGCCTGTGAATGATAGAAGTACATGTGATGATAAAGGGAACAAAGAGTTTCCCCCAAATAGCTGAACTGGAGATCACTGACAGATTAGAAATGAAAAAGAAGAAGAAAAAAAAACTTAAAAATCACTGGTCTAATAACACACTCTATCTCTACCCCCCGTATGCCCCCTCCAACCCTACCCATCTCCTTGCTCTTCAATTTTTTTCTTTTTTTTCTGCTGGCGTTTGCTGGTCAGCAATTATCAAAAACCACTTTCTGTGGGCCGGATTAGTTTAGCCCCCCTCCCTGCTAAAAGCACCCCCCAACTCTCCCTTTTCCAGCTTAGCCCACTGGACCAGGGCAATGTGTCCGTGTTTGTGCATGTGTGTGTGTGTATTTGTGTGCTGACGTGTGTATGTTGCAGGTTACATGCATTAACGTGCATGTACACTGACACTGGTGCACAGGGTGTGCAGAAATGAGTGGTGCTGGTGATGAAGGTGGTGCCTTATCAGGACTCCGCTTCTGGAAACAGACGCTCGGCGGGAACGATTGCATTGACGCACACACACCATCATGAATGTACGCACACACACACACATGCACACCTTGGAAAAAAAAAAGGGCCTGGCAGTAATGTGATAATGCCTGGTTTAGCTGTGAGGAGCTACAGAGGAAGGAGGCTGTTATTAGGGAAGAAGGGGACTGCTCCTGATCAGATCTATTACCAGCATCCATTAAAACATTTCCAGACCAGAAGGAAATACAAAGGAACATTTAGGATATGTCAACGTTAACATTATATTACATCTGGTCGCAAAATGATTGTTCTACCAACCTATTTACAGGGAGCCCACTTACTAATCCTACATCCAAACAAACAGCTTCTCCATGGAACAAGTGAGGTTAAATCCAGATGCTACGACTGGAGGTGACCAGCTCGATGGGCTTCCAAAACAGTAACTGATGGTTTTAAAAGGATGGGAAACAACTTAATTTTTACTGCAACAGGCTGCAATCTCCCAATGATCACAGTCAACCTAAACAACATTATCTAAAGAATAAAGATATTTTCTTGGTTATAAGAAACGATCAAAAACTGAATGTTTAAAGGGAATATTTCAGCTTCTGAGACTCACATTAAACAGCGATGACAGTCATTTCCGTTTGGAGAATCAGGTGAAAATCTCACTGAGGTAATCTTCACATATTTTCAATTAGGAGCAAATATCTGCAAATATCTCAGGGTGGATGTTCTTGTTTCAAAATACTATGGATGGTTGCTTAAGACAGCACTTTTATTGGTATTGACCGAATCCATGAAGGCAGTATTGCACACGTCAGAAGAGGCTGCTACAGTAAACAAAGCTTTTAGGAGGGCCCCATTTCACAAAATGCAGCATATATTACTCACGCTGCTAAATCTGGGAAGAGAAATGCAAAGCTAACTGCAGGAATACTTCAAATCTGAAGAAGCACCTGATTAAAAGCAAGATTAAAAGCGCAGATCCCAAGCTAAAATGCCTGTGTTCAATGCCGATAGCATCTGTTTGGACTGGTGCTCTGCAGCCAGCAACATGAGGCATCATCATCATCATCATACTTTTCCCATCAGATGTTGGTGAATAAACCAAATACTTCTGAGAGAAGTTCAACAGAGCAAAAACTAAACATAAATGCTATATATTTTAAAGGTAAAGAAAATGTCGTACTTATCTGTCCATTGATCCATCATATTGTTTGTAAATAAAGTGGGGAAACGGAGAATATCACTGCTATCACTAGTATCAATATTAATGAGCAAGTTTACACATACATCAATCAACTTAGCAGCCACAGTTGAATACCTCGGCAGCTTTATCTTTCACTTCAGTGAACACTTGGAATCAAGTGTTTTTCACACTGAATCTTAACTTTTCTTCAGTGTTTCCACAGTTTGTTGGGAGCTGTTCAATGGCTTAGCCGTGGTAACCACTTCCTTGTTTACCCCCTGCACACATTGGCAGTGTAGTACCTCTGTTGTTATTGTAAATATACACAAAGGGCTTTATTAACTATTAAACAAAAAAAAGCATTAAACACCAAGCTAATAAATAATACAACAGCAAAACATGGTAATCTTTCAGAAACACTTTGTATGAAACTAGAGTAAGGCGTATACATTTGAAAATATCAAATAACGTGAATATAAACCTTTCCATCACTACTATCACTTATGTGACTAGATTTGTTAAACTGGTAATAATAATTTGTCTCTCAAAAGAGGCTGATTTCATGTGTTTATTAATCCAAGAGAAAATGTCCCTGCTGTTGGAAATCCAGTGGGATGAAGAGAAAAGAAAAATAAAAACTGGCCCAGGGACACAGAGCGCTTTTCTTTTGTGTCTCATTTCAGTTGTGATGCTTCCTCCTCTTTTGGCCACAAAATTCAACCTGGAAACACACAAACACACATCAGTGCAATCCACTGTACCTTAATCTCAGAAGGTGAGAGTTTGTCTGTTCGCCTGCCAGTCTCCAGGGAATCCTGGCTCTTCCTGTTCAGGAACACTGCAGCGACCTGGCTCTCCTCCAGGAAGGACAGCAGAATCAGCCCGTCGTTCAGCACCGCTGGAAATGACATCACCACACTTAATATTACAACGCTCACCTAAAAAAAGAAGACAGCAGCTTCACACAGTAGAGGTGACCCTAAAAGAAGCTGCTGTTTAATAAGCATTAAAGAATCATTTTATGTATAATGGTTTGAATATTAAGATCCTGAAAATCAATAGAAAATATAGTTTGTACTAACACTGTAATGTTTTAATCGCTGCTATGGCTTCACTCATCCTGTTTTTATACATACTTTGTAGAAGTCCTTTTTGAGGACAGCTATTTAGCTTTCAGAGTAAGTTTCTAAAAGCTTTCCAAATTTAAAGACTGACCGTTTACCAATTCTTCTCTGTAAATTGTTCCAAACTAGGTCAGAAAAAGGATGGTAAGAATACATTTTCAAGTTCGGTCAAAGGTTATCATATAAATCTAGGTCTGGACTTCAGGTAATTATAACAAAGAAACAAGCTTAATTGAAATGATTCCATTGTGCGGTTGCTCTAATTGTTAGTCTTCTATTTAGAGAACATATGGTACATATTCGCTCTTCAGCTCTCACCAGCTTCCCTGTCCATGCAGGAGAAAAGCTTCCCCGCAGCTTTACAATAGCCTGGGTGCCATTCCGAACTTAGTCCCGCCCACAACGTTTGAGGTCGGGAAGTTCGGTCTGGCATTGCTCAATAGTAGCGCGAGTATGCTCGCTCAATTTCTGGCGGGCCAATCAAATTGTCAGGGCGGGCTTTATACGATGATGGACAGATGATCAACAGTAACGTAATCAACCACATCACCAAAGCGCTTGGGTGACAACAACAATGGCTGCCGCTGGAGAGTTGAGGTGAGTAGATTCTGCTATTAGGTCTGTTCTAGAAGATATCGACAGCAAATTAATTTTAAAAGAGGAACAGAGAAACGCGACCAAGGCTCATCTTCTTATTCTAGGCGTGCAACTGCACGCTTTGATTTTTGTTGACAACAACTATGCGTCGCTTAACATACGTCACGCACTCCATTGCTCTTATTGGTTGTAGGTCTATCCAAATTAGTGCATTTTTTTTCCTGGTTCATTCGAAACACGCCCCATAATCACAGCTCTATGGAGCAGTATCAGACTCATATTCTGACTAGAATTGAGTAGGAATACGTCAGGCTAGCTTTATAAGGCCACCACCACAAGTTTTTAATGACAGAGGTTATGTAGTATTTGTTGCATACTACATTTGTAGTGTTTTGGAATATAATTTAAGCGTTACTTTTGCTGAATTTGATAGTAAATAAAGCCTTCCTGTGTATATTTACCATAACCACAACATGTGACCGGGATTACGTCACTGCGGATGTGTACCATTGGTTGACAAGTGGAACTGATGGAGGCAAGTGAGCACGGAATTCCGGAGTTGAGTGAGAAGATGACTGACAAGAAGATAATTGATTCCAAGAAGAATAAAACTGGATTTGCACTGGGAAAAAAGTCTGACCATTGGTGCACACTGCAAAGTTGATGAGCACGAGAACACCTCCTTGCTAGAAGTACTACTGCTGTTAGCCCTATCCTCTGAGCCATAATTTTTTCCAACAGCATTAGAAAATGGTTGGACTCATTTAGTAGCTGCGTAGATGGACACCATCTGGCTTACTACTAGTTCCGCAGTACTGGAGGTAGATGTTGCCACGTCTGCTTACATCAGCTAAACCCATCCGGTGCTGGAGTTCTATGTAGCCTCAAAAAGGACGATCTAAAAACTATTGGGACGGACGCCTTGAGTTTATCCTTATTGTGTCACAATCCACTGGATTCTATTGTTTTGTTTCAGGCATGTTGCCAAATAGTTAAGATTTTTGTCTCATCTGAGCAGCAACCAACATCTGCAGGACTTTGGCTTTTTTACGACCGATGGGTTCTTCTTGGTGCTTTACAATGAAGGTCAGGTTTGATCCGGAAAACGTGTTGAAATTATTTTATGGCTGTATAAGCAAACTGATTTAAAGTTGTGCACAGCCCTATCCCTGACATGTGCGATGTTTTCCTTGGTCAGTAGAGGTGACAGAAAAAAAATTAACTTCTCAGAATAATAAAAAGAAAATCTATTTAAGCCATGTAATCTTTTACTGCAATGTGTTACCTGGTGCTGATCTATCACAGAAGATATCATGTTGTAATGTGTGGAAATATTGAACATTTAGTCTTCATACCTTTCTTCCTTTAAACACGCTTGTTTTCTCTTTCCTTTCCAACCTTTTATGAGTTATTTTTTTTTTGTATCTTCTTGTCAGTGTAGTAAATGCTGTGAGCTCCCCTCCTCCCTTTTTTTAATGGTAGAACACACTTGATCCTGTTCAACTCTTTCTGGAGCTGCATGGAAACGCTGATTAGCAATTAAGCCCCCCTCTCCTTCAAATTAATCTGTTTATGAAACCAATTAAATGGAAAGGGGGAGGGGTTTTGTTGGTGGGGGGGTTCTGCTACACATGTCTCTGAGAAATCCTGCTTTGAGTTGAACGAGTGAGGCTGCACCCCGAGATTTAAACATCTAACCGGCGATTAGCGGTGCCGTGTGTATTTATAAACAGGAGGATATTGGCGTGATTGCGCCTGGAATCATCCTGTTGTGTGGAAATTTCAAATTAATATGCTAATTTTCAGAAGAGAAGAGCAAACACGGCTTGAAAAACACATAAAAAACTAGCATCTTAAATCAGGTCAACTGAGTCAGTCGGCTGGATTATGCAGTTAAGAACTGGTTCAAAGCCTAACTGTTACAAAAAAAAAACATGTACAGCCATTGACGAGCCTTAGTTTTTTTGAAACAACATTTAATGCAATAGTAAGCGTCTTTGTGATAGATTACAGACGAATCAAGTTAAATGCAGTTTAGTATTGATCTCTGTGGGTGTCTATAAACGGGATTAAGAATAATCTCATTCTTTCCCAAACGGGGTCTGTGGCCCAATCTGCGACCAGGTGGCTGATTTGGAATTAGCGGCCAGGCTTGCATGACCTATCCTAGAACAGCACCCACACACACCCACACATGCAGAACACCCCACCCTCAGCCACATAGACAGAGAGCTACATTTTATGGATTTATACACGGAGGTCTGCAACAATATTTTATGCATGCACATTTACTCACACTAACATGCACAAACGCATTCACAGTCAGATGCAGAAAGCAATCCCGTCACATACACACAGACAAAGCCGCACACGAACACAGAGCCCCCTAAATCCATTTAATGCCATCTCCTCTGCAGCATGTTGACATAAGAGGCCAATGGGCTTAAGCAAAGCACATTTAAACATGGGTAAATGAAACCTGCTATGAAAAATCACTTAAGGATGCTTAATCGTGGAGCATATGCTCAACTTGGCCCAGGCATCGGCCAATGGAAACCTGTAATACTTTGATGGTGTAAAATATTTGTAATCTGCTGCTTTGTATGATGCAATCGTAGCTCGCTGTTCCAGCAGCGTTCAACTGGCCTCCAGGTTGCAAAGTTCAAACCAGAACAGCAAACCTGCTTCCAAATAAAAGAAAATAAAAAATAAGATTTGGTTCCCTTTTGCTTCAATCTTTAAAAACAAATCAGGCCTGATGTTTGGTTAAATCCACGCAAATCGGAGAATTTAAATACTCGTTACGCTTTGCACAAAAAGTCAAATCCTGACCTGAAAATGAATAATTGCTGTAAACCGTTGTGGAAATTTCTAAATGATATCAGCCAAAACAATTAGATTCAGATTATAAAGACAAGGCATGGAGCGGAAGAACACAAAACACCTGGACTCTGCACAACCAAGGTCTGCGTGGTTGAAATTATCTTTTTTTTTCAAGTTTATGAAGACTTTTTTGCCCTTTTAAATGTATGATTGGATATTATAAATGTGTGATTCATATATGTCGATATTTGATTCTCACGCTCACATTTGTGGCTTTTTCTTCTATTCGTAAATTTGAGATTCTTTAAAATGTGTGATCTAATCGTAAATTAGTGATTTGTGCTAAAAGACTTGTGAATCATAATCGTAAATTTGTGATTATGACTTACATATTTGTGATTTGAATCCTACTCACTGATTTATTTGTACTCAAAGATTTGTGATTTGTTCTCATATATTTGTGTACTACTTGTAAACTGGTGATTTGTACTTTTCAATGCTGCAACTTTGTGAATTCTAATTGTAACTGCTAGTCTTGAATTCCTACAAATGAAACATCTGATCTCATGCAAGCACACAAGATCCACATATGCGCAGAAAAAGATTCACCAAAGTATTTCTGGTCCATAAACAATTCTAAATTAAATTTCAAAGTACCAGTAGTCTTTAAACTTCACTGCATTTGTATGTGGATTTTTGAGGGCAGTATAAAAATCTGTGCAGTGAAATTTAAAGACTACTGGTACTTTGAAATTTGAAACATCTTCAAGTAAAGAACATTCTAAATGACTGCTATGATGTTCAAGTCTGGCTAGGCAAGTTATCCCACTCTGATTGGACAGTGCAGATACAACGATAAGTGTCCAAATACCCTATTTTCAAGATTTCGAGATGGGAAATTCCACGCTGAACAATCAGAAAGAGATAGCAAAGTTTTGCCTTGTCATAAAAACATAAGCATGAGACTAAAGTTTGCCAGGAGAACATGGGCAAGTTGTTGGTGGGACAAAACGTACCCTATAACCCGTGCTTTAAAACTTTGCAACATATTGAATTTCCTTACTTAATTTAGTAAATAATATTATGAACAAAATAACAGCTGTTTATAATTATTAGTCCAACATTTTTAGAATGTTACAAAGCGCCATATGAACCCTAAACTTTGGGATTGATGAGAATGAAGTTGGTATACAGTAAGTGGCCATAGTTTTGTCAAAATTAAAGGACTGGTAGATGGCTGCCAGAAATATAAATATATCGTATAATTTTTGCTTATTCTCTTCTGCTTTTAGCACTGTAAATACTGCCATTTTTCTGTGGCATCTTTTTGCACCTACAGGTTCGCCCATCACAT